AGCAAGTGGTTTTTTAGTAATTAGGATGACTATCTTTTAAAGTTAAGGAAGCCTTAAGACTGTGACTACTTAAGATACCAAGGACCAAAATGGCCATATAGTTCAGTCAGGGACCACTTAACAGCCATTCACCTATAATGAGGCTTGAAGACCTCATTTTATTTATTAATGATGGTATTTATTGCATACTTTATGACACATGCTTTATGTGTCTCTTCTCATATCTTTCTCCAACAACCCAATGAAGTAGGTAATATTAAACTTTAGAAAGGAAGATACCTACATTTTCTAGGTTACACAGTTTGCAAGTGGTGGAGCCCAGATTTGAACGCAGGCAGTTGACTTGAGAAGGTGTGCTCTTAACTACTCCCCACACTGTCCATAGTACTGGATTGGTACTGGGCCTGTAGATGGTCCAGTGCTTCTCGCTCTAAGCTTTCTCGCACTTGGCTTCTATCTCCCAGGCTTGTTGCCCGTTTACCTTGGTTGGACAGATTCTTTCTAATGATTCCTCTCCTTTTCCAAGAATGCTCTCCTTTCCTAAATGGCGGTTTTGGCCAGTAGATACAAAGAGTATGTGTGTTTTGCCTTCTCTTCGCAAACTTGGGAAATTTAGGAATCATTCAATGAGAATGTAGGGAAAGACCAAGAGGCCTGTGTGATTGTGTGCAGATGCCTGGACAGGCTGTGAGCATTAGCACTTGGTCTCACCCGCTCCCACACTCTTTTTTGCTGTCACCCCATCATCAGTCAGGTGCTTACAAAGCGAGGGGACATAAGGAGTAGCCAGATGAGCACCAATGGCTGTGTGAGGGATAATTCTCCTAAGCAAAGGATGAAGAAACTTGCTCTTGACTCAGAATTTCCCACAGATGGCACACTTGGTGTTTCTAGTCACCCCCATTGAAGTAAATATTTGGAACAAAAACCTGCCATGTTGTTTCTCAGACTCTGTTAATATTTTAAATTAATAGTGAAGATAGGCTTTTATGACATGCAAGCATAATTTTGAAACAAAACCTGGAGATTGTAGACAGGCTGCCTTGTGGAAACACAGCCTGCTCGTTTATAGTGGCTGCAATTTGCTGCCTTTCTCACTTGTCCTTGTAATGACTGGTTACCTGTGGGATTTACCAAGGGTAAGACTTTTTTGTTCATGTTTATCCTGAAAGGAGGCATGGATGTGAATTACACTGTGAGAATCCCCAGTTAATGGAAAATTAAAGAGTTTTTGACTCAAGATTTACTGCTTGTAAATTCAGATGACAGCCAACCATTAAATAATGATCATGGGGTTAGACATTCACCATGGAATAATTTTGCTCTTGGGTGAATTTCTTGATTTATTGCCATTCATGGTGATACTGCTACAGGCAAAGGTGTCTATTGCCAGAGCTGTCTTCCTCTCTGATTTCTGATGAGTCCTCATTTCTACTCAGAATTAGACGTGTGTGTGTGTGTGTGTGTGTGTTTTCCCTACAATCTTGATATTTAATGGCTGACCCTGTAATTATTTAATTACGTTTTGGGCTTCTGACCAGTCTGACCCTATAGAAAATAAGAAGGTCAGCGACTCAGCAACTGCTTATGATTTTGTGCTAAGCAACTTCTTAACATTTTAAAAATCCATAAGGTTTTCATCGTTCAAGTTTTCAGTGATATTAAGAAACAAACGTTGTCCATGCAGCTTCTGCATGTCAGGCACTGTGCTAAGCATTTTATATGCATAATCTAATTTAAGTTTCATGATGATGTTTAAGGGTCAATGTTATTATTTCTCTTTTTAAAGATTAGGAAATTGATGCTTAATGAGAAAGCTTAAATAACTCACCCCAGATTACATGGCAAGAACAGGGGTTTGGTAGGGGAGGAGTGGGGATGGAGGTGTGTGTATGAAGAGTGAAACTTACGTGTCTGGTTTCAAAGCCCAGGGAAAAAAATCTGCCTTTTCCTGGACTGGAATAAGCCTCGCTGACAGGCAAAATATATTTCAGTGGACTGTTAATACTTAGGCAAATTTACTGTTATTAAAGAAATATCCTCTTTCTCCCTCTACTCTCCAAGTGAAAAGATTGAAGCTGAAAGTAGGTGATTATTATAGCTCATTTTGATCAAGATATATATAGTTCTTAGACCACACATTTCTCCAATTACCTAACATATGGTTATTTCCTATCTTTATCTGCATTCTAATTCATTATGTCCAAGTCAAATCCAGAGAATCTTTACAGTCTGCGGTATTTCAAGGTGAACCAAAACTCTGATTTCTACCCTGGCTCTCACCCTACTCCTCCATCCCCTGGTGATCTGTAGAATGATGGATCATTAATGTTTAACAGTGTTTAGAGCTGTGCCTGTTAGCTGAGGCCTGAGGCTAAGACTACCTTGGTATCCAGACTGTTGGGTTGCTATGTCGTGTGCTGCCTTGCCTGTCTAGCTTCCCAAAGCCTACTCAGGCTTCAGGCCCATCACCCTTGGAACATCCTGCCGTGATGAGATGAGCTCACTTCTTTGACATTTTCTGGCTGTATTGCCAAATTAGCCCCTGTTATGCACCATCTTGTAAGTGTGCATCTGTGTATGTTTCCCTCCGTCTGTCTCTGTATATTTGCATCTTACATCCCTAGCAATATTATAGGTATCTATGGTGAAAAACTGTCTCATACATTTTGTTTTCTTCCTGACACTACACAGTATATATTTTCCTAGGCACATAGTAGGTATTCAGTAAATCTTTGAACTGTAGGAGCTAGATGATTTCCACATTATATAACTTGCCTTTTCTCAAGCTGAGATGAAGTATAGGAACAATTAGAATGTAAAGTTTATGCAGAATTAAAATGTTTTCAATAGGGAATACATTCATATAGCTCAAAGTAGAAGAATATAAAAAGTATACAGTGAAAAAATCTCCCCTCTTCTCTGTTTCTATCCTCTCATTCCCTGCTTCTCCACAAATAAGCAGCCACTTGATAGTTTTATATGTATCCTTCCGCAGTATGTTTGTTTTAAGCAAATAATTTTCAACAAGTTAAATAACAAAAATATTTATTTACTTCATGTTGGAAAAGCTATACTTTGCATACTATAGAATAATTATGTGCCTTCCTTCACTTAACTATCTAGCTGAGAGATATTTCCAGATCAATTCGTAGAGACCTCTCTCATTATTGTCTTATAGCTTGGTAGTATTCCATTACATAGATGTAACATAATTTATTTAACTCGTCCCATGCTGACGGACATTTGGATTGTTTTCTGTCCTTTGCCATCAAACATAGTGCTGCGGTGACTAACAGGGACATACAGCATTTCATCTAGCCGCAGGTATGTCTGGAGGATACATTCCCAGACAGGGGATTGCTGGAGCCAGGGGAGATACGTTTGTATCTGTGACGGGTCTGCCGATTGCTGTTCTCAGGGTTTTGCCATCTTTTTGACTTCCACAAACTTGTTTCTCTGTGGCCCTGTTGACAGATTGTGTACTCAGACTTTTGAATTTTTGCCAATCTGATTGGTGAAAGATGATTATCTAAAGTAGTTTGAATTTACATTTATCTTCTGAGTACAGTTGAACATATTTTCCTATGTGTTAAAAGCCATTTATATTTCTTTTTTTGTAAGCTGTCTTCATACCTTGGCCCATTTTAATAATTATTTCCAGCTCTACAATTTTCCTAGTTTATAGGTTGGCTTTGTTGGTGGTCGTAGTGGGGTATTTTGTTGGTCTGTTTGTTTCCTTTGCAGAAGTTTCCAGTTTTTAGGTAATCAAATTTATCAAGCTTTTCTTTTTTCTGTTCTTTTCTTTTTTTTGAGACGGAGTTTCACTCTTGTTGCCCAGGCTGGAGTGCAATGGCGCGATCACGGCTTACCGTAACCTCCGCCTCCTGGGTTCAAGCGATTCTCCTGCCTCAGCCTCCTGAGTAGCTGGGATTACAGGTGTGCACCACTATGCCTGGCTAATTTTGTATTTTTAGTAGAGACGGGGTTTCTCCATGTTGGTCAGGCTGGTCTCGAACTCCTGACTTCAGGTGATCCACCCGCCTTGGCCTCCCAAAGTGCTGGGATTACAGGCGTGAGCCATCGCACTTGGCTAAGCTTTTCTGGTATAGCTTTGGGATTTGAAAGTGTTAGGCCTTTCCTATCCCATGGTTACAAATTTTCTTCTAGTACTGTTAGTTTTTCTTAAATCTTTGATCCGTTCGAGGTCTGTGATCTGAGAGATGAATCCAGCTTTGTTATTCAGATGGCTTCCCAGTTATCCCAACATTTACTGAAAAACCCATCTCCACTAAGTTGAGATGCCATCTTTATAATCAACTAGATTGTAATTTGGATTATATATTACCACAGGATGAAATGTAAACACTGGACTAACAAATGAGGAATAATTGGTGGACAGCTTAGTTCATGCATACAGCCGACATTATTAAGCACTTAATAAATTAAACAATTGTGATATGCCAGACCTTGGGGATATAAAGATGAGCATGAAAGCATCTCTTAAGAAAGTAACTGGATAATCAATGTAATCTGGATGCAGTGGAATAAGAGCAGCAGAGAGGCTGAGAAAGCCAGGGAAATGCTTCACAGAGCAGGGAACACCATGCTGAGTTTCAAGGTTCAGCAGAGGCTGACCAGCCACAGAGGAAGGGCATTCTGGGAAGAGGAAATAATAGGTAGAGAGGCAGAGCTCCATGAGCGTCCATGGCGTGTGGGTCGGGGAGGGTGGGGGGCAGGATTTTGAATAGCTGTTCATGGCCATCATGTAGGACAGGAAGCACAATTGGAGATGAAACCGGAAGGGCAGCTAATGGAAGGGGCAGTTCAGTGAGTATCTGTGGGATTTGGGCATGCAGTGTTGTTATACCTCCCCCGTACCTTCGTCTCCCTAAAGAGATGTGGGGGAAAGATGAAGAGGTCCAAAATGAATAGAAGCCAACACTTAGTTGTGTTCTGCAGGTCAGTTGTTGAGTTTTGACACCTGTTGCTTATTCTAGAGTGCTCCGGGCTCCCGAAGCCGAAGTCTCACTTTGCTCCCACATGGAACACCCAATTCTGCGTCTCCCTGTAGCCAGAGACACCTCAGTGTGGGGGCCCCCGGTGTTGTCACAATCACGCATCACAAGTCGCCTGCAGCCGCCCGAAGAGCCAAGAGTCAGTATTCCGGCCAGCTTCACGAAGTCAGAGAGGTAGGCTTTGCTCTCCTACTAGATTAAGCAGCCCCGGGGAGGTGGGGGCTCTGACAGGGGCTCTGCCGATTCCTCTTCCTTTGCGCCGTCTTGATTTGTGGAGAGAGGACCAGCAGCAAACCTCCCAGCTACACCGCTATGACAGTCCCTCCTGGTTTAAAAAAAGTTAATTGTTCCTATTTCTTCTTAGGTTAAGCGAATTGTTAGGAGACTTCTCTCAGAATTCAGAAAGCAGAGAAAGCAAGTGTACAAAAATATGGATGTAAATGGAAGTACAGTTAAATCCACGCTTGTAGCAAAGACTAGGCCCAACTCCATGGATAATAAGAAAATAGCTCTGGGTGTTTTGAAACTCAGGAAGTGTCGGACATAACGCAGATTTCCCCCATTTTCTGCCCTGCTTCACTTTTTCTCTCCTCTCCTCCTTCCCTTCATAGACACACTCCACGGGGGGTGTTGGGTAGTGAAAAGAGTACTGTCCTTGAAGTCAGAAGACTGTTGTTTAAGAGCATCTCTTTTAACAGCTCCAAACCTCAGTTTCTATACCTGTAAAATGGAAATAAAACAGGCTTTGCCGGCCTTCTCTGGGGAAATAAGAGGATCATTTGTGATAATGAAAACTCTTTAATTGTGCCTTATAAAAGTGACATGAGGTTCCGTTTAAATTTTGCTTTTGATGCACTGGGAAGTCATCAGTTTGGGGATCCCACATCCTTAGTATCCCTGTCATCCTCTGCAGCTGTTACAGAGAACAGACTCTCAAATAAATGATGTTGGTTTTGGTTGCCTGCTTCCTTTGAGTGCTGAGTTTTTTTGCTCTGCAGCTTACTTGGGTACAGACCAGTTTGCTTTCCTCTTAGAGAAAGTGGCAGGGCTCTTCCTCCGTGTCACACAGAATGAGACTCCTAGACTAGAGTCTTGCTGCTGCTTGAGTTAGCATGCATCTTGCTTTAGTTTTTAAATGTCACAAGCCAGGTGTAGTGCTCTGATAGCTGACTATCTTGGTTCTGAATCTGGCCCAGGAAGGACAGTCTAAAATCAGAGTCAAATCTGTAGATGCATACGAAAGACACATTTTTTTTCTTGAAAGATTTTACATGTATATACTCTGTCTTGCCTAATAAAGAAAAAGTACAGAGTCAGAATTCTACTGGAATTTTCAGGTAGAATGCTTACTTTGAAATAGTCATCCTGATGTGTTAAAAAGGAAAAAAGTGGGCCGGGCCTGGTGGCCCATGCCTGTAATCCCAGCACTTTGGGAGGCCAAGGTGGGTGGATCACTTGAGGTCAGGAGTTCGAGACCAGCCTGGCCAACATGGTGAAACACCATCTCTACTAATAACACAAAAATTAACTGGGCATGGTGGCACGTGACTGTAGTCCCAGCTACTTAAGAGGCTGAGGCAGGATAATCGCTTGAACTGAGGAGCCAGAGGCTGCAGTGAGCCGAGATAGCCCCACTGCACTCCAGCCTGGGCAGCAGAGCGAGGCTGTGTCTCAGAAAAAAGAAAAAGAAAAAGTGGCTATTAGCTTAATTGTGTTACATTAGTTGATATGATGAATGATTGTGCACGGGTTTATATTTCTTTTTATTTTTCTTAGCACCTTTTCAAAACATCGTATAATGAAAAATATTCAAATATATGCAAAATAGAATAGTAATGCAACCCTATATCCATCACCTTACTTTAACAATTAAAATTTTCCTTTGTTCTTGTTTTATCTATTTTTAATTCCCCCACCACTTTATTTTTCCTGCTAGAGTATTTTAAAGAATAGTTAAGTTTTATAAAAAGTTCCTGTTAGATAAATACCGTTACATTAACTGGCAGTGATAAAATGATACAACACTTAACTATGATACCATCATTTCACTTTTATGTAGACCTCATTGCAGATTAGTTTATGAGTCATTTGAAACCGTAACCTTGAACAAAGGCAGGTGAAAGTTTATGGTATTTTGATAGTTTTCTTTATTGTATTATAATGAATCTCTGTAGACTTACTGTTATAAATGATAAGCCTGTATGTATGAAAAAAAATTTTTTTTCTTAGGACTTGTGTGTATTGAGCAGTGACCTAAATAAAGGTTGAGGTACTTTAGCATGATTAATTAGTAGCATTTGATTCAACAGAATCTTTTCTACCTTCATTTAAAAAGAATTTAATTTTTTAAAAGAATAGAAGTATGGCTTTTGTGTGTGGTTGTACAAAGAAGTTTAATTTATATAAAGTCTATAATGCAAGTTTATATTGCAAAAAATATATTAAGAAAATTAAAATTACATATAATTCTACCTCCCTACAGGTAACCACTGTTAATCTTTCAATGAATTTACTTTTGGGTTTTTTCCCCTGTATATTACAGATGTAGATACGTAAAAATCTATACAGAGTGATCTAAATTTTGTAAATGAATACATGTATGCTTTTTTTCCCTTTATATTGTTTTTTCTCTGTTGTCTGTCTATTGGGGAAAGCTATTGAAATTTCCCATAGAGTTTCATGATATGAAAAATAATTAGGTGAAACCAGGTCTGGTGGCATGCACCTGTAATTCCGTCTACTTGGGAAGCTGAGGCGAGAGGATTGCTTGAGGCCAGGAGTTCAAAACCAGCCTGGGCAACACAGCAAGACCCCATCTCAAAAAGGAAAAAGAAAAAGTAGGTGAAATGCCTCTATAGCCATTTGGTTTGGTTTTTGTACTCTTGGGTGATGGTATATTTCTTCAGGTCCTTGCTTTTTGTATATTGATAACCTTTATTACTCAAAATTTAAGTAAGATTGTTGACATATAAGTGCCAACACTGGTAATGGAGAGAACTTTAGGGTGCCGAGCCCCTTTAGGAAGAGTTTAAAGTTTCAGTCCTCAGACACTGTGTCCACCTTCACTCCTGATGGGAGATGGGTAGCTGTTCTGTGGCATTTGTCATTTTGTGATGTGGCCAGGTCCACCTTGGGAACTATCCGAGCAAATTGCACTCATACTAGAAAGTTCCGCAGTTATTAATTTCAGAGCACAAAGGTCACTGCTTTAAGGTTCCACTGTATTTATCTATAAAATAGCTAGAAGAAAATGGAATAGCATTTTTAACCCAGCTGTTCAGGGAAGATAAACTTATGACCACAGAAGCAATGGAGAAAATCATCATACACAAGACAGATGTGCCAGAATATCAGGAGAATAAAAGAAAAATAGCCCAGCCAAAGGCAATACAGTAAATAGTAAATGGAATGCTACAGCATTGGTGAAAATAATGGGACAGTTTGAAAGATTAAATGGTTATCCAAAATATAAAGAATTGAGATACCAAAGGTTGGAATCCAGCATCTTCTCAGGAAGTGGTTAGGAGAGATCAGTATAGGGAATTTCAGAGACTGTCATCATGAGGAACAGATATATTCTCTTTAGCAATTCAAGAAATGAAAATTAAGGCAACTGTTTGTGAAATTATCAGAACTAATTCTAGCCCATTATTGGTTGGGATAGTAAGAAATGTTGACTGTGCTGCAGATTGTCTTTTTGCTACAATCTGGTGATGTATAATAAGAATGAAACATAAAACAAACTGCATTGCCAGTGACCCATACATTTCCTGCTGGGAATCATACCTGAGGAAACAATTTATGGAACTGGGACTAGGAGGAAGAAAATTAATTTGGATAAAGCTATTCATACTAATAAAGGCATAGATTCAATACAAGACATTAAGGGAATGACTAAACAATAATACATTTTAGATTCTTAATTACTCTGTAGTAATTTAAGATAAGAATCATGTCAGTATTATTACTACATGGACATGTATGCATAAAATGAGTAGGAAAATAAGTGTACAGAATAATGTATATACATTGGACCCTATAGTCATATTAATAAGCTCCAGAAGTTGTTTAAAACAGTGGTTCCCAGAATTTTGGATTTTCCTTGCAAACGAAGTTTTAGAAATAGAATTTTAGAGGCAACATAGTATTGCTATTTTAAAATTTACCCAGAAAGGACATTTTGAAAGTAGTCATAATCTCTGGTTTCCACTATCTCGTAAAAACGTCTTGATGCCCCCAAAGGAATATAATCTCAAATAAAGAGTCATTTATTGCATTGAATAAGAAGTCTTAGGGGGCTGGGTGCAGTGAATCACGCCTGTAATTCCAGCACTTTGGGAGGCGAGGTAGGAGGATTGCTTGAGTCCAGGAGTTCAAGACCAGCCTTGGCCACACAGACTCCATTTCAAAAAAAATTTACAGATTTGCTGGGTGTGGTGGCTCGTGCCTGTAGTCCCAACCAGTCAGGAGGCTGAAGTGGGAGGATTGCTTGAGCCCAGGTGTTTGAAGTTGCAATGAGCAATGATTGTGCCACTGCACTCCACCCTAGACGACTGCGCAAGACTCTTTCTCAAAAGAAAAAAAAAAAAAATCTTGGACCGGAAGAGACTTCCTCGTGGATTGATTCTGGCCTGTGCATCTGTGTTTCCAATTTGTCTCCTCCCTTGCCACTGTCAATCACTCTTTTAGTTCATGCCTTGCTCTATCTCCAGAAAACCACCTTCCTGAATGGAAACATTTTATCGTGTCACCTTTCTGGTATTAAAACAAACAAAACCCCAAACCTTTTCGATTCCCCACTGTCCATAGGATAAAGGTCAAACTCTCCTGGGTGGCCCACAAGCCCAGCTTCCTGCGGTGTGCGCTCCTCCATCTCCCACCCTCAGTGCCCCTTCTTGTCCTCACTGGGGACTCAGGACCTCCTCTGTTGGGAGGCCCACTGCTCAACAGAACTTTCTGCCAAAATAGAAATGTTCCATATCTTTACTTGATGTGGAAACATTCATATCTTGGCTCCACTAGGAAAAGTTGAGTGTACCAGAAGACTTAAGATCTACGATGGTGATGCAGGAAGTTTTATTGAGTGAGATGGGATGATATGCCCGCCACTGGAAGATATCCACTGGCAAGCAAAGAAGAACCAAGAAACAGCCGAGGAGGAGAAGTGCAGACAG